AAAGCTGTTCGGCTCCTTACGAGCACAGCCTGGGGAGGTGCAGAGCCGCTGCCCACTCTCTGCCGTGTGGCACCGCCGGTATTCGGCGCCCAACAGATCGACCAGAGCTGACAGAAATGTCTGGTTGTTTTAATACATGCTGGGCACAGCGATGCAGTGTCTGTGGTGGCAGAAAATGCTCTTTCGCTTGGGACAAGAAGGAGCCGCTGTGCAGGCGATGCTCGGCAGGGCAGGCACGCCTCCAGAGCCCAGGACAGCATCCGGAACAGAGCCTGTTCCGGCTTGCCGTGATGAGGACGGGCAACACAGTCAAGGTTATTCATTCAAGCCTTGCTCACTAATGCTTAACTCCTGTTGTAAAGCAGCCTCGGTCAAAGGCAGCCGCTGTTGAGAGCTCCCAGCCGGAGGAGAGCTGGACCTGCACAGTAGCAGCCATGGGGCAGAGAGGCAACGCGCTTCCAGTCCCAGCCGGAGCACGCGAGAACGCTGGCGGAGACGTGAGGTGAGCGTCTGTCAGCCAGCTCTGAACAACCTTCCGGAGCTGCACACGCACTCAAGCCCGGCTTGCGCCTGTCTCGTCAAGCAGCCGTTTCTGCTGGGCTGACCTGTTCGAGTCACATCAGCACCCAACGTCCACAGACTTTCCTAGCGATGCTTTCTTCCAAATCGTTAACGGCCTTACAGGCCAAGAACAGACTCCCCACAGAGCTCATTATAAAAGCCTCAGCTGGATGGCAATAAAATTTGCAATAAAAACGTGTCAGCTACACTTTGAATCCAACCGCTGCAGAGAGAACCAACCCCCAGCAGCAGCTTGTGTTCTGTGGGTGTTTTAACCAACACACCAGGTCGGGTAAGGCACACTTGACAAAGTTCACCCGCAATAACCTGTGCCTACCAACCTCGTAACTGCATCAGAACCGTAACCAGCTTGTTTGACAGGTTCCACATCCTGAGCCAGGCTGATTTAGCATTAGTTCCCTAGACAACTTTTAACTATCCGCTGATCATGTCCGTTACAGGGTTTTGCTTGGGACTGATACTGGATAAACAACTGCTGGAGTAACCAAGCTGACAGTCAGTTAATTATCCCAGCAGGCCAACGAAACTCACGTTTCTGCTACCAGAGTTCCTGTTGTTGAATTACTTGCCATGTAATGTGTCAATACAAATGGGTCAGGAGATTTTCTGCAAACCCTTCTGATGCCCTGGGCTACAAAGAAGAGCAGATTTTACAATGCTCAACGTTTCCTCCTTGCAACAGAAAGTGCTATTATTATCCCTGCGATATGGAAGCATCACCCAGTGGGAAACGGAATCACGTTAAATACTTCCACAGCAGCAGCTGTATCGCCCGTTCCTTGTTCTGAGCCTACAGCACTGCTCAAGGGCAAGATCTCAGACGCTGCACAGCACTGCCAGAGGCCTGGCTCCTCCGACGAAAAAAGAGAAAGCATCACCTACAAAAAGAGGAGCTCTGACAAGCATAGGAAGCACGGATTGCAAGACATGTGAATTAGAGAAACATGTCTAAATTCAGAAATACATTGGCCTTGAAAAAGCCAAGGGGAAGGCATGGCGAATCCAGCAGCAGTGAAGAATTCTGGCTGCCCCCGAGTTCTGCAGCAAAGTTCGCAGCAGCTCTGAGATTTGGAGCAGCGGAGGCTGGCATGGAAGACTTTGATGCTCTTGCTTGGAGCCTCCTCCTCCATCCCACCACTGCTGCTAGGGGCTCAGCTGTTCGACACACAGCAGAGCGGGGAGGGAAAAGCCTTCCCCAAGAAATGACACACACACAGACGGACAGATGGACAGACTGACTCCTACTCCAGACCTCGCCCCCACCTCCGGACCGAGGTGTGCACACAGGCAGAGCGCTCTCCCAAATGCAGCAATCC